CTGTCCAACTGGGCATTAGATCGTCAACATCCCGAGGGCCCCTCCCGTAATGCTCACAACGTGCCCAAAGGAGAGAGATCCGGCGACCTTGCTGGCCAAGGTAATGTTTGGCAAGCAGTAGAAACATGTGCAGTGTGGGGGCGGCCTTTATTTTGCTGAAATGTAAGCCCAGGGTGGCGTGACTTGAAGGGCAACACAACGTGCCTTAGAACTTCATCAACGTACCACTGTGCTGTAAGGTTGTGACGGATGACAACCAAAGGGGCCCTACTATGAAATGAAATGGCAGCCCAGACCATCACTCCTGGTTGTCGGCCTGTCTGCCGGAAGACAGTCAGGTTGGAATCATACCACTGTCTGGGGCGTCTCCAGACTCGCCTTTACTGGTCATCGGGGCTCAGTTCATAGCAGGACTCATCACTGAAGACTATTCTACTCCAGTCAGTAACATTCCAGTGTGAATGAGCCCGACATTACTGCAAATGGGCCTGACGTTATACAGAGGTCAATGGTAGTTGGAGCAAGGGACGCAGTGACCTCAGCTCCCTTTCTGTGAGCCGTCTATGAATGAACCTTGCAGTTACTGAAGTACTAGTTGCACATACAATCGATGATAATGATGCATCTGGGGCTGCGAGTGCTGCTCTGACGATTGCTTGGTCTTCACATTCTGTCTTTTCTCTAGGCCTACCACTTCCTTCTTGACGCTGTGTGTGGCCATGGTTCACCCATTCCCTGCCAACATCGTTTAATATGGCATCGCTTCTGCTCAAATGTTGAGCTATTTGCCGATAAGACCAACTGGCTTCTTTGAGCCTAACTACATGACCTCTCTCAAATTCTGACATCTGCGCATATCGTTCGTGCACCTGTATGCGAGGCATAGTTACTGTCTACCAAACTACACGGAATCAAATTCGTCAAGAATTTATAACCTGGAATCGTAATTTCACCTCTTAAATATCCTGCCAGTTGCGCTGATCAGATGCGCTGTAGCGACAACCATTCATTCAAGCCAAACTGTAAAATTTATCACTTTCTATCGAAACTTGTATGCATATCAATTTGTGTCCGATTTGATTTATATCTTCTCGGTGCGTCATGGTGCATTTTTTTTTTTTGTGTCTAAGAGTGTATATTTTTAGCATATGGAAAGAAATGTTTTAAAAATTTTTCGTGTCAACAATTTTTAGCGCATTATCTGTACTCATTGCCAAGCGTAATGTCACCATAAAAGGTTACCATAATCTTTGTTATTCAACTGCTAATATATATATATATATATAAAAAAAAAAAGTTTAGTGTTGCTACATGAGTCATTAATCATTAATGAAAGCAAAATATAATAAATAATGATTTGCCAGGTTGTCGTCAGGGGTATAAAATATTAGTAGGTGTAACATCAAGAAAGTATCTATGTAGAATGTTTCGCTTTGAGCTGTATGGCAAGCAGGAACACAGCCTATGGAGTCACATTATTGATCAAATTTATGCTAAAATAATTGATTCTTTAACAACGAGGTATTTTATTTAGTTCCGAAGTGAAATTAAGAATCAGGACTGTCCACGTGCACCGGGGGGGGGGGGGGGGGGAGAGTCAAATGTGCATGCATGAAGCACACACACAAAAAAATTATTTAAGTAATTTTTTTTTTTTTTTTTTAATTTGGTATATTTGCTTTGAGGTCCATATTTTAGATCATTCTGGATATTGGGCACCTAAATCTCGGACTTTGTACTATAATAGTAAATATCCTACGTTGCGGTTTTCAGACACAAAAAACACCAGCCACGTTTTGCCAATTGGCCCAGTAGAATGGCAGATATAAAACTGGCATTACCTTCTTTTTGAGTGGGTGCATATGTGTTTTCATGGGGGGGGGGAAGAGAGCTTTCAAAATTTATATTACACTCAAAGGGGTATTTTTTAACGTTTTGTGTGTTACCTTTATTTAATTAATATCACGTTCTTCACACTTAAAAGATAACATTCAATTCAACAACAATATAACAAAATAACTTTAAAATGAGCATATCTTTAGAATTTCCGATACACAGTCTTTCATGGTGGAGATAAAAATGTTTTTTTTCCTTACAGTGTTGCCATTGCTCGCTTTGAAATCGTTGAGTTTATTAATAAAAAATTCATTAAAGTGTTACAAAATATGAAATTAATAATAAAACAAATTCCAAATTAGGGCTTACAGATGCCCATATTCAGTTGAGGATTATGTTATTCAAAATTTGATGGCTCTAGCCTTTTCGCAACGGCGCACCTTTGTTTAAGACGTTTGTGCGGGACGGAAGGGAATCGAAGGCAGTCACTGTACAGGACGGAGGTTTTGCATCGCTAAGCCTAACTTTATATATATATATATATATTTTAAAAAAAAAAAAATATCAGGGAAAAAAAAAAAAGTTTCGCTTCTAGCATCGCAATTTTTGGTATCATTTTAGAATATTACTTGAGCTCTTATATATGTTAAAATTAGCACTTAATAACGTTTTTTTTCTTTATTTTACATGAAAATATACTTAAAAAATTGCTCATCTTGTAAAATAATTTTTCGGAAGCACTATTCAAATTATTCCAAAGTTTTAATTGATAAAAATCCACCAGTAAAGTTTAAAATTAACAAAACAACACAATAAAGACTATTTACAGTAAGAAGAAACAAAATTTAAAATGAAGACTGTGGTAAATCTCGAAGTACGGAGGAGTATTACTTTCTAACTCTCAGAAAAGGTATCACTTTTTAACTCTTTAGAAAATAAATCATCACTCTCATCTGCATTAATTAATGGTTCATTGATCATACGAGGGTATTCTTCTTGTGATAAATAGTGCCTTCCTGCCATAATAGACTGGAGGTGAGGGCTTTTCGAAATAAAAAGAGAAGAAACGGAAATATATCTGAAGGCAATGCAAAACGTAATAGTACTCCACATACTAACCTTAAAAGACTGTACATAGTAAAGGGAAAAATAGAATAAAAAAGGAAATGGATATAAATTAGATAAAAAAGAGCTCACCTCCGCTTCTCCTCCCCCCACCCTTGCAAGACCTGATGAGTAAAATACCAAAGTCAAGCAGAATATATCAAACTCAAGGTCAGGAACCTAAACTGTGTTCATTTCAAAAGTAATGGACATAAGATGCCATCTAGTGGCCTTCAGAAAAACAGTCAAGCTTAAAATGCATATATGCATCACCCGTCCTCTGAATGCAATCTCTTGCGATGCGTGGATGGGACACCCGGCTGTAAGAGTTGTTCTTAGGGAATGCATATATGGGACGCCCGTCCTGAAAGGGCTAAGTACCGTTGTTTGATCACAATGCAAGAAATATATACATTTATGCAGATTCTTCATATCTTTAAATATAACACAGAGCGATAATATTTTCTGGCAACAATCTAAAACGTAAAATGGACATATAAAGTTTTCGACGCAAAATGCTAAAACGAAATTAACAGGCCTTCTGAGCTAAAACCCTTTGGGCTAAAAAAAGTATTATGATTTTATGAAATGCATTTAAATACTTTCTGGAGTATTTTAAATATAAAATTATTTAAAAGTTCAGCCACATTTGAATTTCTACGAGTTCACCGCTCAACAAAACAGTTAAAAATTATATTTTTACAAAATTTATCATATTACAAATTAATAAAATATACATTTCTCAATTTTATTTTAAGTACCGTAATTTCGCGCGTATAGTCTGCGGACTATCTGTGTTTAAAATGCGAATTTTTGAAGCTGCGGACTATCCACCAGTGCGGATAATACGCTGGTTGTTCACGGTTAAAATCGTTGAAATTTAAAAAACACGCTGTCGTGAACTGCCGATGATCAAATATAAAAAAAGCGCGAGATTCCAAGAAAACATTCGTATGTATCGTATCGATAGTAAACCATAGAGCATAGTGCAGAACGAATGAGTAGTAGCAAGTAGAGCTCCTAAAATCCAGGCTGGCGCATCAAGCGATGCCGGGATATGAGCCAAAGAAAGTCTTGTATGAGCACTCACTTAGCGCAACCAGAGTCTTGTATCCCAGTATCCTTCGCACTGCTTTAGCGCAACTGCTGAGAGGGGAAAAAGTAATTGATGCGTCAACTCGGTTTTTAGGAGCCATTAGTAGCAAGTACCTGGAGTATGAAAAAAAAAAAAAAAAAAAAAAAAAAAAAGCGTGATTCGTTTACTTATAGCGTGGTTTGGCAACACCGAGTGAGTGGGGTCGAAGGTCACATTTCATTACCACTTATCACGAGTATAGCACGTTGCACAGTATTTTGTTTTCGTATTTTGTCTTTCATCTTCGATAACGTTGATGAAACATCGCCGGAGTTTTACTGCTGAGTTTAAACTCAAGGTAGTTGACAAAGATGGAAATAGAGAAGCGGGCCGTTATTGGTTTAATCCTAGTATTCGGTGCACACGGGATTTGGCTATTTTTGGCGACTTTATGATGAGCAGTGAAAACGGGACATATACGATGAGTAGTTAACGGGTCATTCAAAGAAAATATATAGTTAAACATAGTATATATATTATGTGTGTATATACATATACTATGTGTGTATACTATATATATAGACGTTCTTTGGATCATTTTTGGTGTTGGCGATAATTTTCAAAGTCGCGCCAAGGCTGCATCGTATACTAGGATTTTACCCTGTTATTTTGAAGTGGACGAGAAAGCAGTGAGAAATTGGCGCAAACAAAAGGATGTGTTTAAAAAGCATGGGAATATTGCCGTATTAAAAAAACGTAATTTCGGACGTATAGTCCGCGGACTATCCGGTGGTGCGGACTATCTGACGATTTTTGAAAATTTTTTTATATAAAATCGTGTCTGCGGACTATACGATGGTGCGGACTATACGTGCGAAATTACGGTACTCATTTTTCGTATTTTTAATAATACAGAGGCTTTTCAAGCAGGCTGAACTGAGTTTTGATATCAGAAAGTGGTGAGACAAATTTTACTAAAATTGCTTCATACCCTATAAACTTCTTCATAAGTTTCTTCATCAATTTCAATAGTTGTAACAGTTTCTTCAACATCACCCAATACCATGTTTAAATGCTGATCATATGCCTGTAAATATAACCACATAAGTAAATATAATAAAATAAATATTAATTGCTTGAGCTTAAATCTTTAGTATTTTAGGACTTATGGATCTTTAAGGCAAACAATGCACCAAACAAGCAGCAATCTAAACACAAGAAATTTCTGGCAGCAATAATTTTGCAACTGCTGCAAGAATAGTTGCGAAAAATGCTTTGGCCATTATAGTCCCATCATATGAATTCACCAACCTAGGACTTAGTGAAAAAAAAAAAAAAAAAGAATTCTATATCTCCCATTCTACTGGGCCAATTAATGAAATTCAGCTTGTGTTTTTCATGTCTCGAAAACGTGACTTAGGATATGTATTAGATTTATATATAACATTGTTCTAATATAGGTATTTTGACACAAAATCGGACTTTTCTGAAATAACATATCAATCTTTTTCCATATTTCAATTCTACGACTCAAATTACAGCAAACTACCATGTTTTGTAAAAATTGCACAAGTAGTTGTTTAAAAAATTGCCTCTCAAAATTTTAGCTCCTGAATATTAATTGAGTTTGGTATATATTTATTAATCTCTCCTTTTTTTATTAAACTTATTTGATTCTTTCTTTCACATTTTGAAATTCAGGTTCATTCCAAATAAAATTCACCCATTTTTTATGATTTATTTTTAAAATTTGTATTTTTAAATAATTTTCATGAATTTTTCAAAAAAGTTTTGAATTATAATTTATAAAATTTTTACCATCATCTTAAAGAAGATGTATTTCTAAGCATACCTGAAAAAAATTGCCAGTTTTTAATTCAAAATTTCCGAAGATATACGTGAATTTTTATATTGCCGTGTTTTGAAATTTGGCATATTTGTTGAAAGCGATAAAACACCAAATGTGGTTTAGACACTTTGCTAAAATTATTTGAAAATAGAAATGAAGTGACTTTTTTTTCACTCATGTGCAATGTGAAAAGGTAGGAACAAGGTGCCCTTCCCCCCTCCCCCGCTCCAGCATAATGGAAGGGAAAGGAAAATTGGTTGCCATATATTAAGAAGTTCACCAAATGAATTATTCTTGGCGCAACTGAAAACATTCCACACCAAATTTTTCAAAATTTAATATCTAGGCATAATTTGAATCATAGAATCGAAATGTGGGAAAAAATTAGTATGTTATTTCAGAAAAAGTCCGATTTTGTGTCAAAATACCTATGTTAGAGCGATATAAAAATCCAATAGTATATATCCTATGTCCCGCTTTCGAGACATGAAAAACGCAATTTGAATTTTGTCAATCGGTCTAGTAGAACGGGAGATTTAGAACTGTCTCCCTTTTTTTTTGCGCAGTGTACATCGGTTTTGATATCTACAAAATTATAAGAATGATTAACAATATAATTATATTCTACATTGCCAAGATTCCCTAAAAAAGGATTCCTTTTAGCAATCAATATATAATACAAAGTCTGAGACATAGAATTGTCAAGACTAGCAATTCCAGAAATTTTCAGATTTTTATATCATCCTTTTAATGTAGTAGGATGACATGTAGACATAAAAATACTGGGCCTTTATTTATTATTTAGAAATAGATATAAAACAGATAGAAAAATGCGAATACCTCCACAACCATTCAAAGGTCAACAGTGTGATCCTTGTCAACATTAATACAACATCAATCAATGTATAAATGTTGGCCAGGGACTCTCTAGATAAAAGGTGTTTGAAAGTGACAATGCATGACTTATGACACAATTTAAGGGAAGGCAAAACTACACAATTACAACAATAATAATTTATTTAAAGGGCACGGAGAGTGGTACTTTCCTAATTAGTTACAGCTTAAAATATTTAACTTTCTCAGCATACAGATAGATGAGAAGCACCCTCTAATGGTGTTACAAATAAATTGGGTACTTACGTATTATCGCAATCAGGTTGGCGCGATTTGTAAGTTTGAGTAAAAAAGTATGAATAGAAAGAAAATGTACATTTATTAATTACAGATAATTTTTAATACAGTTTTTTATATTATTTTGTTTTAAATTATAAAATAGCAATTAAACCCTTCCGGTTTCGAATTTGAATAAGTTGCAGAATTATTTTTTCGGCAGAAATCTTTTGGCTATTGCTTTTAGCACTGATTGAAAACCGTCTTCGCCATTAACAGCTTGAGCTTGGCTTCATATAAATTTAATAAGGTATGAGTCAAGATGATGATGGGCTGTTCCTCTCTGTTTTATGTTGCGCCATTTGGCTGAGCCCCAAATGTGCTCTACATGTTGTGTGTGAACGCCCGTGTTGGGATCCATAAAGTTATATTTGTGATTAACAGTTACATTCAGAAATCCAGCATTTTCGAACTCACTTGTGTTATATCCTTTCCAGCAATCCGAATAAATGATGCTTCCTTCCTTGATATTTTCGCAAATTTTTTCCATGAGGGTAACGACGCTTCTGTTAGGTACAGTAACCAAAAAAGTCTCTTTCTTATCTCGGCAAATTCCGCTGAAAACCCATTGCTGTGGTAGTACACGCCCAGTGTTATTTTTTCTTTTTACAAATAAATTCTTTTTACAAAACTACGTATACACGCAGGATTGCCGTAAGTAAGGACGCCAAATTTGGCGATTTATGCGAATTTTGGCCTGGTTGCATTAATACGCAAGTACCATAAATTGTTTGGGGATTTTCTCAGCATTCCCCAGCTGGCAATTTTGTAAAATTTATCACTGTCTCAGCATATATATATATTGAAATAATAAAATAAATAATAATAATAATAAATAAGAGAGCAACTTGCATAAAACATAAACAGCAAAAGGTAAACCTAAAGAATTAACATTGTTAACAGTATAAGAATTTAAAAGTTACTCAAATAACTACACTGAAGTGCTACTGAATTAGGGATACCTACATAGTAACGAGTTGGGCTTTCTCTAGCCTTAATAAATCTGCCATACGACAATGCACAGATTCAACAAGATTCTGAAAATGTTCCATGGGAATGGCTTGCCAAATATTAGCTAAAGCCATCCATAATTCAGTAAGGTTCGTTGGTGCTGTGTGATGGCCTTTCACGCCTTATTCCAAAACATCCCAAAGATGCTAAATAGGATTTAAGTCTGGGCTTCTAGGTGGCCAATGTATGACAGAAAAGTCAGAGGAATGCTCATCCAACCAGCCAGTAACCAACCGGGACTTGTGATTAGTACAGTTGTCTTGCTGGAAAACTCCATTATCATGCAGATAACAGAACAGCATAAACGGATGGAGGTGATGACCCAGCAAATCTAAGTACCGAATTGCACTAAATGATATTGGTACATGCACCAAAGATCCCAAACAGTTTCACGAAAAAACACCCCAGACCATGACTGAGCCACCATGCCTTTGTACAGTTCAAACCTGGCATACAGGATCCTTCATGAGCCTCACGCCATATTCTCAGCCTGCCGTAGGCGTTAAGTAGTTGGAATCAAGACTCATCACTCCATGCTACTCGTTTCCTTTCCTTTCTTGCACAGGCAAGACGTGCAGCCCGAAGGTGAGCATTGAGCAATGGTACTCTCGTAGGTCGATGGCTTCTGAAACCCACATGGTGAAGCTAGCATTGCACAGTCCATTTACTGACTGTATGACTGGCACAGTCATTCAACTGGGTGGTAATTTGAGCTAATGTTTGGCTCCGCTGGCTATGTACAAAACGCTGAGCCATCTCTCACCAAGCACTGTCAAGGTTAATTGTCCTTTGCAGTTTGTCCGAGCACTAGTTTTTTTTGTCCACCATCCACGTATTCTTGACACCTGCCAACCTTGAAAATCCTAGCATGTCTGACGATTTCGGAAATTGAATGGCCAATGCATCATGCACCTACAATTTGTCCATAATCTGAAAATATTTCTTGTGTTATCAGTTACAAAGCTTTAAATTTTACATTTAAATTTGGTTTTCACTTCTTTTAATGCTATCCACAGCGAGGATAATTAAATTTTTACTTCTATGCAATGTTAATGATATATACACTCATGTCCATAAATTAAGGATAATGCAAAATCAGGCAAAGGAAGAGTTAGAAGTAAAACAAATTTGACTTATTTGTAAAGCTTATTTATCAAACAAAAGGTAAAGAGCAAAAAAAGATGCTATATGTTTGATATTATTAAAAAAATTAGCGATTTTTTCTCCCTGGAGCAAATTACAAAAAACACCTATTTTACAAAAAAACCAATATTACATGGTTGGTATAATTGTTAATACATTGTAGGTCTCCCAGACAATGCAATACAGTCCGTACAACGCCTACGCATGCTGAGTATCAAATTATCGATCTGATCTTGGGGAATATTACACCACTCAAAACGCAATGCTCTCCGAAGTTCCGGTACACATGTAGGAGGAGGTTGACGAGCTGCAACTTGTCGGCCAAGCATATCCCACTTGTGCTGGATTCAAGTCCGGTGAGAATGCTGGCCAGTCCATACGGGTGATATCCTAGGATTGAAGGCATTCGCTTACGATGTTTGCACGGTGAGGACGGGCGTTGTCATCCATAAACACAAATTGTGCGCCCCGAAACAAACGTACATGTTGCTCCCGAATGACGTCCCGATAGATTTGGCTTGTCATGGTTCCAATTTGAACATGCAGGTAGGTTCTGGAACCCAGAATAATTCCACCCCAAATGTGTACTCCTGCACCACCGTAACGGTTTCGTTCAATGATGTTTTCTTGGTGGTACCAGGAGCTCTCCATATGAAAGTCCGGCGAGAATCAGACTGCAAGCTAAACCTGGACTCGTCGGAAAACATCACACAAGCCTACTGCTGTGGTTCCACAATTCATGTTCTCTACTCCAGGCTAACCGCAGGCAACAGTGAGTTGCAGTAAGTGGAATGCATCTGACAGGTCTACGAGCATATAGACCAATCTGCCCTAAGCGTCTGTACACGGTCTGCCTTAAAATTGTCGTAACAGTGGCTGAAGAGAGCTGACGAGACAGGTCTAAGGTTGTGCTCCACCGGTTTCTTTTGGCAGCAACTGCCAAATATCGGTCCTCCTTCGGCGTTGTAACTCTGGGGTGACCTGTGCTGTAACGTCTACTCACATTACCATCATCTTGGAATCGTTGCCAAAGCCTGGAGATGACACTCTGGGCAATTCCAAGTTCGTCTGATACTTCCAGTTGGGTGCGCCCACATTCCAGACGGCCGATAATTCTACCACATAAAAAATCATCCAAATGCGTCCTTTGTGTCATAACTATTTGGTTATTGCACTGAAATGCTTATAAAGCGCCTGCGAACAATTTTACTTCTTTGCCTGTATTCCTTATATATATCACTCTCTTACACTCTCGTCATTGTGACGTACCATCGGTGTCATCTGGTTACTTCCTGAAATTTGCATATGATTCTTGAAGATGTGTGTAGTGATTTTACAGGTGATATATTTATTTTAGAGTTTGATTTCCGCATGACTCCGAATTATCCTTAATTTATAGACATGAGTGTAAATTGTTTCCACTAAATGTAGAGTTCTATCTATTGCATAAATATACAAATAGATTATCGGCTGACTGTAGCTGTTAAAGCAAGCATTTGAAATCACACATACTGTTTCATTATTGGGCAGTTCATAGTTGCATTTCTTTATTTTTTCTTTAGTATAACTCACTTTCAGATGAAGACATATCTAGAATACATCTCGCAAAATGATGCATTTGTATTGTTAAAAAAAATGTACCTTTTTTGTTACAGCAGCCTCGAAAACTGATTTGCCAATCAGCTCAGATATCTCAGCAAAATCTGGCTGCCTGTTATTACACCTCCCCACGTGATCGAATATTAACACTGGCTGCGTGTTCTTATTACCTCGCCACATAATCGTATATTAGCACTGTGTTGCATTTTTGCTCTCACAGTGTGTCCTTATATTCATTGTCTGTGTCCATTCATTTTTTTATTTTTATTGTATTTATTATTTTAAAATTTGTATTGTTTATTTAAAAATATATTCATTATTTATTTTTGTGTATGTGAATATGATGTTAACAATCTTTAATTTACCAAGTAATGAGGAACTACTCGGTAAATTCTAATGGATGCCATATCATTTTTTCAAGAAGAGGTCTTTCACATAAACAAACGAATACTTAAAAATAGCCACAACATGAAAATGGCAAAACTATTTGGAAAAGCAATGTTAAAAATTACAAAAAGAAGGGCCTTCATGTTGTATTTGTTCAGCAATTCCAGGATATCATTTTTCACTTTCAGAGCCATAGCTAGGGTTTTCAGTGCCCGGGGACAACTGAAGATTTTGTGCCCTCTTCTGAAGAAGGTAAAAAATATCAAGAATGAAAAACATTTAATTCTAAAATTCTATAACATCATTTTGGCACCCCTGGATGCTGCGCCTGAGGACAGATGTCCCCTCTTGCCTCACCATAGCTATGCCACTGGTCACTTTTAATGGATCTATGTATTTTGGGGCAGAGGAGTTGACATCCATGAAATGGAGTAACAAACAGCTTTAATATTTGTGGAAGTGCTGCAGTTGACTGGCACAATTATATGTGACAAAATAATAATAATAAAAAGAAGGATTCTTAGGAAATGATATGTGAGTATTATTGTTGTCATTATAGTATATTGTGTTGGTTTATTTTTACATTCGTGCTTCATGAGCTTGGCAAAATTACAGCCTACACCTGCAAGATGTCTAAAATCTACAACCGTTAAATATGGTTGGGAGCAGCTATAACAAAGAAGTACCAAAAAAATTTACCAAATTGGATGATCAATTTTAGATTATTGAGAAGCTGGTATTTTATAGCATTAGGTCATGAACCATGTGTTTTGAATTAGTGTACATATCATCAGATTTCCAATCGGACATAAAAGTAATGCACTTTTTTCCATTTCATTAATATGGCTTGTTTAAATATTTGAAATAATTTTTCTTCAGCTCTAGTGCAGAATTAGATGCCCCTTCGACTGGCGACAACTTTTGTTCAGTTTTGTTAATAAAACTTCATTTCTGGTTGCCATGATAGTTTTAATTTGGTTTTAGCTTCCTGAATTTTTTTAAGTGAAAATAGATCAACATGCACATGAATAAAGTCAAGGCAGTGTGCAATGCTGAGTTTGTGCAATTCTCCGACTTCTTATTTAGGTTTTGTGTAGTGGCCATCTTGAAATTGCGTCTTCTTGGTGCTGATCTTGGCATCAGAAAAGAAAGAACCGTCCCCCCCCAAAAAAAAACAAGGTGCACCCAATTGTAAACTTTTACCTTTTCTTCTTAAAAAAAAATGATTTTTTACATTCAATAATAAATATCTCTTTGAAAGTATTAGAGATTATCATAATCTTTGATTTTATGATTTTAACATATTTCCCATCACTAAAAAAAAAAAAAAAAAACTGAGTATATCTGAGTTTAATCAGATGATTAAAATCAGGCATCACACCATTATCACTGTATAATGATAACCTTTATCACTGTAAGCAATTTATCATGGTTGCCAAACAGATCCACAAGTACCAATCAAAATCGAACCAACTAATGATTTAAGAATTTTTTCATAATAAAGCTGAGAAATTCACATAGCTGCTATACTAGGTATAACAGATAATTAAAAGAGCTTTTCAGCACATATAAAAGAAAGAATGCATTATTCTACTTACATGCAACCTTCCACGTAATTCTCTTTCATTCCGCATCTTTACATATATACGTTCGTCCAAACTAAGACGAATCAAATCAAGTGGCTCTTCCACAGCATTAGCTGCAGACTGAAAATAACTTAATTTATTACATAGAAACCATCAACACATTATATGTTACACAAAATAACTTATATATAAAATAACTGTTAAGTCCCAATCACATTATGTTTCGGCTACGCGGGACTTGACGTCAAAAGTGTACGAAAGTACAAGTATAAAAGATAACTGAAGATTTGATATACAAAGAAAAACCAAAGCATATTAACACTTTATTAAAAAAAATAAATGTGTGTGAACCAAAAATATATTACACAAACCTTAATATCAACTGACCAAATCAAGACAACTAACAGCTGCTTTCCTACCACCTGATAAGAAATATTTTCTGGAGAATTCTGCAGGAACTGACACTTCTTTACCTAATAAGCAAAGGTTGTAATGTAGAAAAGGGTGCCCTTTCATTTAGCAGCAAATACTGATGCAGCTACAAGCATCTACTCCATTTTCCCAAAGTTACAGCAGACCCCCCCCTTTTTTTTTTTTTTTTTTAAATATGCCAATGTGTTTCTTAAGTTTAATTCTGACTGGAAATTCTTAGTTTAGTGATTGAGGATTATATAATGTGTAGTACATGTGTACTACAAATAACATATTTTGAATTACTAGAATTTTAATTGTCATCAATTAATCTTAAGTTTTCATTAGCTGGCGGTTCTAATTAATCATTGTCCTGCCATTTCCACAAAGAAGTATGTATGTTAAGATAAATATTCATTTTCCCCATGATTTAGAGCAAAAGAGAGCTACAGTGGCGTAGCTAGGGTGGGGCAAGGGGTGACATCTGTCCCCGAGTGCAGCATCCAAGGGGCACCAAATTGATGCTGCGAAATTTTTTAATGAAATGTTTTCCATTCTTGTCACTCAGAAAGGGGATTCTTCAGTTGTACCCAGGCACTGGAAACTCTAACTACAACCCTGGAGAGCTATAACTGATTGATGAATGAATAAAGATTTAATTACTTCTCACTATAAATGTCAAGTTTATTCAAAAGATATGCATCCGATCAAGCTTAAGGATCAACTGTATGGTTACGAGCGGGTTAGTCGTGAGAAGGCGCTCTCATATTGGCGTTTATACCAACACCACTGAATGAATGTGGACCTACATTAAGCACGAGTTTTCATAAGCAGGGTCTTTAGCAACAGTCGGATGGGATTTTGTATTCCTACTTTGCAGAGTTTATGTTGCGTCATCAATACGGGGATCAGAAGGAGGAGGTTCAATTCCGGGACTACAAGATTTTCATCATGTACGTGCAGATATCTGATGCTGATGATGAGACGTAGCCAAGAATACACAAGGTTAAGTACTTTTGTTGTTTACTATAAAATACACTTTTGGCATTGTTTCGAATGACAGCTATCTTGGAAATATTGTTTTTGGCAACATTTTTGACATCACAAAATTTGCCAAAAATATCAAAGTGCACCCTATTTCAAATTTTGCTGCAATTAGTATTTGATCCGCTCAATTTTTATGCTTCGTAAAAAGGCTTTTGATGATTTCTACTATTTTGTTAGATCCTTACCAGAAGCTCCGTTTAGAACTATGAGTATAAACTTCCCACATGTATCTATTCCAATCTATATAACTTTCAGAATTATACACTGCTTCTTGTTCTGTAAAAGGCAAGTCCTACGAGTCTTGTTTTCAAAATGCAAGAAATAAATGCAGCAATTACAGTTCATTTATATCCTTGTTCCCCAAAATAAGTCTCTTATCGAGAATCAATGTCACATCACTTTAAAGTGCAAAAGTTATGAATGTATCCCTTGTTTATCATTAGTTGACATTAAATTGAATTTCACGACTGCCAGGATAATATATTTATTTAGTTTCACAAATGATTTAAATCTTCTAGCTCCTTTTTTTTTTCTTTCAAAACTCACACCAGATAATTATTGCAATAGATGCTTAAGGCTATACAGTAAATGTTTCACATGAGAAGCATTTTTTATATTGTATTCTATGGAAAGATGTAAGAAATAAGTATGTAAACATTTAAAGTTACTACTAACAGTACAGAAGCTTTTAGTTAGATCAATCTATTATTAAAATTTGTTATACCATAAATCTAATCAGCACTATATTAAAACAGATATTTACTGCTTTCTGATAATCAGAATTAAAAATGATTAAAAATAAAACAACAAAGAATAAAAAAATAAAATAAATCAGCTATAACTATGCAATAGTCATGTGATTTTATTCTTCGTTTTAATTCATAAATCAAATGCTACAGATGAACATTTCCCTTTGTAGAATTTAAGTCTTAGGAACCATTCAAATATTCATATCTGCTTTCAATAATGAAAACGTAAGTTCATCACTCACTTCCAGTTTATATCTATTCCCACTGTAAAAAAGTACATTTTTACCCAGCTAGATAAACTTAAAGAAAATATTTCATGTAGAATAGACATTCATGTTTGAACATTTTTTGGAATTTGAGAATCAAAAGCATTTTTGAAAAAAACTGAAGCTAATCTTACAAGAAGAGATTGAGACAGTTTCAACAAATATCTTTGAAAATGCTGAAGCGAATTACTAGGTTATAAAAAAATGCATTCAAAATATCAGAAAAAGGGCTGAATATGAAGGATTTCCAACAGAAAAATGATATCCATATCAGCCCAGACATCTGTTCAAGAATTTTATCGATCTCTTATCAAAAATAAGATAATTTAATTTCATAAATGACATTAATTAAATACAATCTCATGCACTGACAGTCATACACAGCCACGATCAATTTTAATTCTGGGCTTATCAATTTTTTTCTTTAAAGGCCTAATTTTTTTTTTTTTTTTTAATTAACTCTAGGTATGATGTTCTCTATTTTAACAATATATATCTACTAGAATGTTTGAATTTCATTGTTGGTCAAGGAATGTTTGTCTCAACTTAAGTTGAAGGTCTAAGATTTAAAGTTAGATTGGTGATTTACTAGAAAAATGTGCACTTGCAGGAGGCTTGTACCAGTCTCTCTTAAGAAAAAATTTCTTCAAATTAAGAAAATAAAGTCATGTCTTTTCATTTGGGCGAGTTCTGTTTATAATGTGATCCAAATGTAATTCAGAATTTTTTGGCCTCCCGAAGAAGAGACACCCACATTAGCTTTTCTCAAGAAAAAGAAAATCTGTCCATGTTTGAATATTATCTGATTTTTAAATCTCAAACTAGTTTCTGTGTGCACTGTGCTAAATTTCACTTCGTAAAAACTGTTTTGCACTGTATCATACATGACTGTTTATTATTTTATTACATAGTTCGCAAAATTCATCTGGGATAAAATAACCTGGGTTTCTGGCTTTTGATTGCATTTTAATCATTATTTTCAGTGTCAGCTTTTGATTACATTTCAATCATTATTTTCAGTGTCAGCTTTCGATTGCATTTCAATCATTATTTTCAGAATCACTGGGACATGTGAATCCCCCCCCCAAAAGGTGAACGTATTAAGTCACTTTTGTACTTTTTTTAGTTACTTGAACACGTTTAAATTTAACCCGCGAGAAAGCACGTGGGGTGTATCATACCCCACCCCTACATAAAAGTGGAATATTCCTAACTTGTGAAACTGGAATTCTGTGCTGCATTCAGTAGCTGAGTTTCTAGTTGTGGTTGACTTTCAGAACCACTTTTTCTTTGCCTGTGTGTTTCAGAAAAAGATTTATCGGTATTTTGTTGGAACTGGGTTATGACACACCCCACGCGCCTGTCCACGTAAGTGTTTTTCTGACTAAATATTTAGTTCAGAAATTTATTTCTAGAGTGTAAGAGTAAATATTTCTACTCGCAAGTGATTTTAAAGTACTTGACATTAAATTCTTAAAAATTTCTAACCGCATCATGGTAAAAAGAATGACTCCCTATGAATTAGAGATGCAACGCCTGTGAGATTTATTAGAAATATTTGAAAGCGATTAAGATTGCATTTCGAAAACTGAAGATGAAACTAGGAATATTTTCTGCACTGTTTTGGTTTCGAAAAAGATAAAACATTAATTCCTAATGTTCCTAAAAAAGGAAAAACTGTTCTTATGCTTTCAACATCATATAATGATCATACTAAAGATGATATTATTGGAGAAAATAAAACATCAGGAATTATATGTTTTTATAATATGACTAAAGGAGCAGTAGATATGGGGGATAAAATACCAGAAGGTGGACAAAGGTAATTTTCTTTCCTGCACTGAATGTTACTGTAATAAATGCTTGAAGTCTATTATATTCAACAATCCACCAACTAGAAACAGAAGTCTGTTTTTGAAAAACTTAACATTACAATTAATGACATATTGAACAAAGAATGAGAGATAAATACTTTATCAAGAAACTGACGTACTGCATGCAAAACAAAAGCAGAAGTTTCGACGAAGAATTAAAACGAATACATGAAATTCGAAACAACTAAGTGTGAAAGATGTGATAAATTGCCCTTGTGCCAAGGACAGAAGAACGTGAATGCAATGTTTAAAATGTGAAAACATTCCGTGAAAAGAACACATGAATATATAGACTAGAATAGACTAGAAGAGAGAAACACGCTAATGTGACAATCAAAATCGTAAAAAACAACCTTGTATTTAGCGTAGGTATAATGAAACACTCAACTGATTTCGAGGGCAGCTAAAGGTCCCTCCTCATCAGGAGAAAGAAATACATAGAAAGAAGAAAATAGGAGAAGGAGTCACAGAAACACGTGGTCCTTATCAGCACTGCACGTGGTTATAACTAGATTTTTAATCAGAGTTGCACTGGCCGCCTACTTTTACTGAGCCAGGCTATCTGATCAAGCATAGAGAAATATTAGTGAAGTTAAAATAGGGAGCGAGGGGCAAATGCACCTTACGCTCAAATGTACATGAATGAAATACATGAATGTATTTCGTCCAAAGTGTAAAGAAATAAAATAAGCATTGTGTATTAGAGATGCAATGAAACTTAGAGGCACGATGTTTATTTTTTTCATTTATCTTAATTTTAACTCTAAGATTATTTTGGAAATTAATTTTTGAGACCCAATTATTATTCACGTATTTATAATACACGAGAACAAGAAAAACAGCTTTAAAACTAAATAAAACTATTTTTACCGCATTTTAAATATTGGGGTATGTGATACCCCACGCGCCGACTCTAGTAACTTTTCTTGGTGCGACTTCCGCTGGGTTAACACCCATTATTTAAACACAATTCAAATATAAAATATACGTATCCTTAAAATTTTAATTTAACAATATTCTCCATTCGTATAAAGCTATGCTATTCAACTACACAATTATGTTACAAGAGTAACAATTTTACGGTTTTTCCCAAAATGTATCCTCTTAAAAAATTTTTACATACCTGCTCGTTATCATCTGCCATGTTTTTCCTTCCAAAACAGCGCGAACTGCTGAAATTTCCATAGGAAATTTTGATTGGTCACTTAGGACGTCAGATATGTAGATACACTTTCGAAAATTAATTGAAAATCTTAAACTATCCATTTTGCATCTTGAAATCCTATTTTATTGGCGAAAAGCATAAACAACACTCTTCGTAAAAAACAATACACATATGCCTTTATGAATATACGAGAAACCTAAGTAACGACTTTATCTGTACGAAAACATAGTTAAATTGAAAAAATTTGCTTTTAGGTGGCAAAGTACTGAAGTCAATAAACAAGAAAAGAGTTTTCGTAATATTGCGTGACTCTGGTGTCATATCCGATATAGAAATCTAATATTTCAATCTATAAAGTGGCAACATTAAACTTTCGCTTCAAGTTCTGATTTCGATAGTAAACATGGTGTTGTTGGAGAACGAAGCAGTAAGTTCTTTTTATATGTATATTATTTTCAAAAAGTGAATTTTGTTGTAGTATACACGATTTAATAACTCAATAGGCGCTTAACTATATGTTGTAGGTATAACGAATATTTAAGCTTTCGAAAGCTTTTTAAAATTTGGAAATTTTTTATCCATACGTGTTATATTAATTATAGTAGTTTTAAGAAAATTCTTGGTTAATTTTAGTCAGGATTTTCGTGAAAATTTATGGAATATTTAGGTATTTATTTCATAGCGTTATCTTTTTTTTATGGAACCAACGTTTAAGGATTGATAATTGCATTTGTTATGAATTTTATTTTCTTTATATTGGCGTGGTTAAAGTAATTCCTTTCACAGTAGTTTCAGGGTATAAAGAAAAATCCAAAACGACTGTTAGAAAAATTATGACCTACCTCAAAATATTCGCCTCGGAAATTATGGATTCTCTTTCCACACCTACCCGTCAAGTAATTGAAAAACCAGTAACTCCATTGGGTTCCAAAAAATCATTTATTTTCTGTAAATTTAGCAGTAAAATTTCACAGTTAATAAGCATGTAGATGTAAAACATGCATGTATATGTAGTGATATACGAAAATAAATTTGTATTAAATTCAAATTAGCACAGAAAAGATTCATTTAAAAATTCATTTCAAATTCATTTAAAAATATAAATTAGTATTAATGTACTGAAATTGGTGCTACTTTGGTAGACGGTTGCACGGATTTTTGGCGATTTACGTTGGCGCGATTTCTACAAACGTCAGCCGTCTTGAAAAACGCTGTTTTTACGCATAGTAAAGTATTCGAAACTTAAAAAAAAAAAAAAAAATAAATATCGTTAGAAATAATGGATTAATTTTTTTGTTGAAAATATCGTTTTTTAAGATGGCAGGCAAGTGTAAATAAATACATTTACTATAAGTATAAAATACTAAAGTAAGGTTATTATTACTTTCATATAGCAAAGAAGAGAATAAAAATACCACTATAAAAACATTGCGCCAACGTTTAATTGGATTAAAATATTACGTAAATTGAATATCGAATTAAAAACCATCATACCAACGTTTAAAAGAATTAAAATGTTACTTAAATTAAATACTTTAAAATAAGTAAATAAGAACGCTTCGTACACTAGAGCTAAAATGACAGCAATTAGTTTATTGTCGGTAAAAAAGGAGGAATGTCTAATAATTTTCTTACCGTTACAGCGGTTATTTCTTCCAACATGACCACAATATCATATACGGCCGTCTCAGAATCGGCTCTTCTAACGGTCTTCATCTGTGATCTACATTTTCGCACTTCATTGAAGAAACAATTAGCGACGTTTCCTCCAAAAATTTAAAATAAATTTCCTCTGACCCTTGTAAGAATTTATAAATAAATCTTTGATTAGGAAAGCCAGGCTGGCGAAAATAAGGTCTCAAAGGACAATTTTTTGATTCCGAAACCAAAAATTCTTGGTACTTATCAAAAACAACATTCATCTTTGAAGGAGACATTTTTGAAGGAATTCGAAGATATGAATTAAATTTTAAAATGGCGCGGTAATGCACAAATTTTCAGCAACCTATCAGGGAGCTGATTACAGCTCATTAATGCACAAATATTCTATAACCAATCAGAGAGCTGATTACATCACGCCTAGAATTAAAATTATTTAAATAATCATACATAATAAAATCATTTTAAAAAAGAAATGCAAAATTAAATTGTATTTTAATATTTAACAACAATAAATAATGTTTAAAGCATTAGATTAAATTTATAGATATTAAAACCAATTACTTTTAAAGTAAGGTGACGTCACTGATTACATCATCCACAGCATAAAATTTCATAAAATATGATAAAGAATAAAATTTTTATTTCAAATAAAAAAAAATGCAAAATTAAATTGATTTTTAATATTTAGAAGCCATAAATAATATTTAAAACACGGAATTTATGCATAATAACACGCATTATTTTTAAAATAAAATGTCAACAAAGTATCGGTTACCATAAATAACTTATCCAGCAATGGGTTTACCATAAGTCGTATTACTCGCCAAAAGAAAAATTGCCAAAAACTCACCAAAATCCGTGCAACCGTCTACCAAAGTAGCACCCTGAAATTAACTGGTTAAACGTGAGGGAAACATGCGAGTTCGTATCATAGATGCCTAGTCTACTAAACATCCTTGCAGATATAGGTGAAAGTGATTAACTTCCCATAAGTCAAGAAAACTTACCCTGGCTTTAGGAAGGAAGAAATTCCAACTATCACAGCTAAGATAACTATCAGAAAAACTACTGATAAGCAATTGTCTTACTCATACAGTGAAACAATTAAGAAAAACCTTCAAATGGAGATAAGTGAAACTGCCAATTGAATCAATAACGGAACATTAAGAAATTTATTCAAGGACTGCAGACGGTTAAGGACTCGATCCCAAAACAAAGACTCCCCATGAAAAACTCGCAATTAGTCTATGAGCAATAGAAATTATAAGATTCGCAGAAAATTAATATTAGCTCCTGTGACCGCTAGATAGAGCTACTTGTGCCACCCAGCTACATCTGTATGTGAAACACTGTTTTACTCTTCCCATTGCATCTCTAGAGAGATGCCTGCTATATATATATACTCTTAAAGCTCATTTACTACTCAGTGTTCATGCTACTAAGGACTAAAAAAATTACTTAGCAAAACAGGGCAATCTTAGCCCAAGAGTCCATTGACTGGAACTTGTAGTTCATGGATTACCATTGTTTATTCTGTAGTTATATAATACATCACTGAATGTGAATAGCAGAATTCTAGTTTTTGATTGAATGTAATTTGGTTAATAGGCTTAAATACTAGGTTACGAGAACACTTGTTTTAATGCTTCAAACAGAGCAACTAGCATTGGTGGTCTGGTCTGGTGTCCTTTTATAATTAGACCTTTCTGAAGACACATATTTTTGCTCTGTCAATTTCCTCAGGAGACAGTTATTATTATTAAGAGGAAAAATTTTTTGTATTTTTATTTGATATAGAATTTCGAAATTGTATTTGCTGAACAATGTGGTAAAAGTTTACAATTAAATGCCCCTTGTCTTTTTGGCGATTCTTTTTTGTTGCCAAGATCGGCACCAGAAAGGCACAATTTCAAGTTGGTCGCAGAACCAAAATAAGAAGAATTGCACAAATTCGATGTCCATGTACACATCGATCTATTTTCACTTAAAAATAAATCGGAGAATTGCACAAACTCAGCATTGCAGACTGCTTTGATTTTGACCATGTTAATAGATCTAATTTCACTTAAAAAAATTGGGAAGCTAAAACCAAGTTAAAACTATCATAGTAACCAGAAATGCTGTTTCATCACCAAAAGTGAACAATGCCAGTCAAAGGGGCATCCAGTTGTACACATACTTTTAATTTGTTATTCTGTTGTTAATACAATTACAGTCAAAATTTTTAATCCAGACTCGTCGGGACTTCGGCGATTCCGGATTATAGATCATCGGTTTAAATCTGTTAAGATGGCATGCAGAAATTATAAAATTAAAAATATGAAACTGTAATTTATGAAATAAAGAGCAATTATGATCTAAAGAGTATCAAAATTTACAAAAAAAAAAAAAAAAAAAAAAAAAAAAAAATTGTTTACTTTATTAAACATTTCTTTGAGCGCGCGCATGCATAAAGCATACATTACACATAGTCAAAATTAGAAAATTCAACTAGAAAACTATTTGATGTGTAATCGTGATATTTATAATGACGAGGAATTTGATTTAAATCATATCAAAGACGGAGTACATCGAGATGAAATACTAGATTTAGTAAGGAATTATAAGCCGAATAAAAGAAAAACATCTTCCCTGAAGATGAGGATAGTGCTGACAGATCAACTTCCAGTTCATTGCGCGCCGCGATGTCCCCCGTAGAGCAGCGTGGAATTGATAAACAGATTTTGGAATGGTTAGAGAAGCAAAGGGTATGTCTTTATCCATTTTCTGCAGCAATTCCACTTTTTGTTTGATGGACATCGAAACATGCTTTCGCTTTGTAGATCCTTTGGCAGCTGCAGAATCGGAAATTCTTTTTGACATAATCGAAAGTTCAAGCTTACTTTTATAAAATTGCTCTAACAGTCTGTAAAAAATAATAAACCAGATCCAATTAGAAGATTAAGGAACAATGTAATCTGCAACATTAACTGAAATAGATAATTAGATAATTTTAGCTTAGCTTATACCACCCGTTATACATTAAACACGCATGCATAAAGGTATTATGCGCATGCATAAGGCGTATGCGCAGAAAGTTTGTAGCTTTGAGGTCCGGATTATGGACGTCCGAATTAAAGACTTTTGACTGTAATACTTTTGTTGGAATATTGTTTGGAACTATTTATAAGAATAACAAGAGGCATTAAAACTAACTAACAAGAGGCATTTCAGATTGGGGTGAATATTAATGTTTGCAGGAATAAGGCTATGTAGCAGTCCCTGAAGAATCAAAATGTCTGTTAAAAAGGCATAAAGTATATTTGATAAATCATTAAGACTTCTGAAAACGTATTTAAATAGATTGTTTGATGTCCATTTATATAAAATTTTTAGAATGGGTACTTGCGTATTAACCCGAGCGTTATGGCCGGCTTTATCCGGTCATGAGATTTTTTGTCATTTGTTATATATTAGCTTATAATTTATGATATTTTGTTGGCAGTGGTGATAAAGGCAAAGCATGTTTTGCTTCCCTTAAATAAAGCTAAGACTAAACTAAATAAAATTCTTGCTTTATTCCATAAATAAAATAAAAGAGCTAACACTGTAGCCTTTACATTTTAAAATCATTTGATTGAAAGCAAACTAGCATAATGCTAACTGATAATCACACAAGAGAACAAGAAAAACAAGATTCGCCGATACCGGCGTACATATATATTATACTTGGCCAACCCGCCGATCTTGACGTCATCGGCCAATCAGCTGCAACCACGTTAGCTTACCGCCGATCGACCTCCGATCAAAATTTGCATGCGGAAAACTAAAGCCAACATATTTTACTTTCTTTAATAATATAAATATCATCTTAATAAAATGTAAGTGCATGAAAATAGAACCTAAAGTAAGTAAATATACAAATATAGTTAATAAAAAGTGTCTTTGAATACAGGTCTTCATGACAGATCAAAAAACCCATGCCGCTCATAGGGTTAATGTAGCCACCTTGGCACAACTCGTCGTTATTTTACAAATGAAAAAATAAAAATTGCATATCAGATGCAAGAAGATGATATTCATGAATTTTTTTAAAAAATATTCACAAATCATCAATATTTGGCAAACATTATACATATTAAATACAGAATATATAACATTAAATTTTAAAATAAAAAATTTAAATATAGTGAATAGGGATTATATGATACATTTAAAAAATAAAGCGCGTTTTTCACGAAATCAATCTCAATATTTTCAGCTCTATTTTTCCCATGTGCTTAGCAACATGTTTTCGCTTCAAAAAAATTCAGAAACTTGATACAGTCAAAAGTCGTTAATTCGGACATCTATAATCCGGACACCAAAGCTAAAAACTTTCTGCGCATGCGCCGCATTGACACATGCGCACAAGCGTTTACGCGTGCGCGTAAGACCTTTATGACTGCGCAAGTGCAGAATACGTTTTCGCGTGCGCATTTAATGTATAACAGACGGTATAAGCTAAAATTATCTAATTATCTATTTCAGTTAATGTTGATGATTGCGTTGTTCCTTAATCTTCAAACTGGATCCGGCTTATTACTTTTTTCAGACTGTAAGAACAATTTTATAAAAGTAAACTTGAACTTTCAATTATGTCAAATAGAACTTCCGATGCTGGAACTCCCAAAGGATCTACAAAACGAAAGTATGTTTCGATGTCTATCAAACAAAAAGTGGAATTGCTGCAAAAAATGGATAAAGACATGAAGAAGGTGACAGAGAGTTTTGTGAAAACGAAAAAATTTCGATTGACAAGTTAGTCGGTATTCTTGGCACAGCAATTACGGGACTTGAACAGCGGAACTTTGTAACTGAACAAGAAATTATGTCTATTTATAGAATTAAAGAGAAAGTATTATCACATGAAACGAAGCAACTTAAACAACTTACATTAAAAGAAATGTTTAATAAAGTAACAAATAAATATTGAGCTTTTTTTTTTTTTTTTTTGTAAATTTTGATACCCTTTAGATCATAATTGTTCTTTATTTTATAAATTACTGTTTCATAATTTTAATTTTAGAATTTCTGCATGCCATTTTACGAGATTTAAACTGATGATCTATAATCTGGAAAAATCGAAAATACGGAATCGCCGAAGTCCCGACGAGTCCGGATTAACGACTTTTGACTGTATTATGCACCAGCTATCTTCCAGATGCATATCGTCGTTGTTCCTTTTAGCGATTCTCTGAAAAAATACTATATACCTGCAGAACTTTCAGTACAGTTTTTTCCATTGCTGGTAAATTTGACAAGCAATATTTTAAAATTGAATTAAAGGCAAAAAATATGTCTTTATTAGTGATGGCAGGAAACTTTCATTAAAAACATATTAAATACTCTTGCGATCCTCTTTTTCAGTTGATGTTGGAGAGTTAGTGCCAAATTTTTCAGTATTTTCACTGGCAGAATAACATATAATTGCTTGATCATCAAACATTTTTAAATAATTTTAGAAGTAGCTGTTTTAATTTAGAGAATCTTAATCAAGACTTTATGACCTTTTTCTTGCATATCTATATATTTTTAATAGAACTAATTAAAAGGTGTTCGTATGTAAAGTTTTTCTTTTTTCCTTCTACTTTCGTTATAAAATATGTAAGCATTATTAATTTTGCATATTATTATTATGCATATAATTATTAAGCATATTAATTTTGAGAAATTTATTTAAAAAAAACTATATGAGGTGTAGTGATTTTATTCAGAAATATCTTTTTGCTGAAAAAATGAAAAATAATAATTATAATAAACTACTTTCTGATTATGCACTTGCCTTTGAAAAGTTGGCAACTCGTTGGGGAAAGATATTTGGTAAGCTAACATGAGAAAGATGACAGCCATTTTTAAAATTATGGCACACAAAGAATTTCATAAGAACAATGAATCAATAAAAAAAAAAGCAAAAGACATTCATAATAAATCTCTTACCTTTTTTTTAAAAAAATCCTGATGTAATTTTTTGGCTGTGTTTTTTTTTCGTATGTACAGAACGATTTGCTTTCGCTTAAAAAAAATTAGAGAATTGCACAAATTCAACTTCGTGCACAGATTTCAATCAGTAAAATCTTGCTGTTATAGAATAACTTCATAGAATGTAAAATTTTCTGTTGTCTACTATTGCAAAAAATGTCATATTTCCGAAGAAATAAAATGCTTTCTTTATCGTCAGTTAAGAAATTCCACAGAGTCACTATGATTCTTTAAAAGGGAGGAATGTGCCTCAATGCTAAAATAAATACTAAAAATGACTGTCAAATGTGAAGGTGGAAATGCAGGCTTGTTCATAGCAAAGTTACCATGTAAATATATTTTGGCAAAATCATGGGTTGTCTTTTTTGGCGACATTACCTTGTGAATACTTTTCAATGGATGGGGTGCAAATAATCAGAAAGAACTGTCATAAATTTTCTTTTACTGTGTTTAATATATTTTTGTTTCTTATTTCAGTTCTTAAGTGAACTAACTAGGTTATTCCAAAAATCAAGAAATGCAGGATCATTATACATTACAATGAAAAGATGTATGTATAGTTTTTCCTCTGTTGAGTTAGAGAGATAGTGTTTTTATAATTTAGTTTTCAAGTAATTAAATTTTTAATAAATTAGGTTATTTGAATATAACAAAAGAAAAAAAAATATTTGCTTGTGTAAAAGGTGATGCCTTTGTGGAGGACTAAGGGAAACTGGCATGTTTACACATTGGAAAACCATGAGATCTGAATTCAGGTGAACCGGTATTCGGTGGTCTTTAATTGCTATTGGTACAGCCAGTGACTAATGAAGAGAAATTAAAGATTTACATGATCAACACACTGACATGGACATTGTGTTTTCAGTAGAATTTGTGGCTTTCTTATGAAAATGTTTATAAATCTATATATTTGTTTCTAAATGCAGCAGAGATAAGTAAACATGGAAAGAAATTTGAAAATTTCAATGTCAAATAATATATATTAATTAGAAGCTTTTGGGTGTTTGGTGATGTTTAAAAAAGGGATGTTTTGTTCTTGCCATATCTTATTTCATATAGCTTTAATTCAAAAGTAATATCCAACTTTAATGCTAGATATTCAATTCAGTGCATATATTTTCAGATATTTGCTGCAAATAGATGGAGCAACAAATTTTAATTTTCATACCAGTGGAAAATATAAAACATTATGTTGGAATAAGTATGAATATGTGAAACATATGTATGAAAATATGTGAGACTGCCATCCTAGTGTGTTCTCTCTCAAAATTGGAATAGTTAGTGTCAGGGCTGTGGAATCGGAGTCGGACAGATTTTGGGGTGAAAGAAGTCGGAGCTGGAGTCGCTAAAAACAGGCCTACTCCAGTTTCTGTTGGACAGTTTTAATTTGAAATGAAATTAAAATGAATCGAAAAAAATTAATGACAAGCTGAGTTATCATTTTTATTTATGGACTATATACTACATTAATAAATACAGTCAAGTCTTTAATCCGGATGTTCATAATCTAGAATGATCTATAATTCGGACGTCAGAGCTACAAAATTTCTGCGCATGCGCATAATACTTTTATGCCTGCGCCTTTAATGTATAACGGACGGTATAAGCTAAGCTAAAATTATCTAATTATCTGTTTAAGTTATTGTTGCAGATTGCATTGTTCCTTAATCTTCTAATTGGATCTGACTTATTATTGTTTGCAGACTGTTAGAGCAATTTTATAAAAGTAAGCTTGAACTTTCAATTATGTCAAAAAGAATTTCTGATTCTGGAGCTACCAAAGGATCTACAAAGCGAAAGCATGTTTCAATGTCCATCAAACAAAAAGTGGAATTGCTGCAAAAAATGGATAAAGGCATATCCTTTGATTCTCTAACCATTCCAAAATATGTTTATCAATTTCACATTGCTCTGCTGCTTACTAAATAGGGGGGCGGCGCGCAATTAACTGGAAGTTGATCTGTCAGCTCTATCCTTATCTTCAGAGCAGATGTTTTTATTTTATTCGGCTTATAATTCCTTACTAAATGTAGTAAGTATTTCATCTCGATGTACTCCATCTTTAATATGATTTAAATCAAATTTTTCGTCATTATAAATATCATGAATACACATCAAATAGTTTTGTGGTTGCAATTTTCTAATTTCGACTCTGCGTAATGTATGCTTTATGCATGTGTGCGTTGAAAGAAATGTTTAATAAAGTAAACAAATAAATATTAAGCTTTTTTTGTTTCATATTTTTAATTTTATAATTTCTGCTTGCCATCTTACCAGATTTAAATTGATGCTCTATAATCCGGAAAAACCGATAAACTGGAATTGCCGAAGTCCCGATGAGGTCGGATTAAAGACTCATCGGACTATAATTATTTTCTATTTTATTGACATACTAGCAGTTTCGCTGCCAGCCTTTGTCTGGCTTTTAAATGTACCGGAAAAAATGGCTGAAGGAAACACCAAACGTTAAATTTAAGAACTGCGTTGAATTTTACTCTGCAGAACAACTTTCTTTTTTTCCGTAACAAATTCGTAACAATTTCCGTAACAAATTTTCCGTAACAAATTCCGTAACAATTTTTTCCGTATAACAAAATTACAATGAAATAAGCAATATCCCTTAATACAAATATTAATTATCCTAATAAATAAATTAACTAGCTTCCCTTTGCAAAATCTTAAGAACTCAAATGGCATAAAGGAGGTTAAGAACTTGGTTTTCTAAAAAAAATCACTCAAAACTTTTCAATATCTTAAAAACAGTGAAATGAGCAATAAATAACATAAAAGTATTTAAAAAAAAATTCTGAAAAGCAAAGTATAATTAATGATATTTTATCTTATATTTTCAAGAGAAAAAAATTACAATGAAATAAGCTATATCCTTTAATACAAATATTAATTCTCCTAATAAAAAAATTAACCAACTTTAAGTTGAAGGAAAAAAATCATGCAAAACTTTTCAAAATCTTACAAACAGTGAAATAAACAAAAAATAACATGAAAGCAACTCAAAAAACAAAATTCCAAAATTTCCATTCCATTCCCAGAATTTTACTCTACAGAACAACTTTATCCTCCCTCCAAAAATAAATAAATAAATAAAAATTTATTATATATATATCAAAAAATGACAATGAAATATGCCAATCTCTTAAAAACAGTGACATAAGAAATACGATAAAAATTGTTGCCAAACCCATATTTCTAAAAGAATGAAACTATTCAAAATGATGCGATTTCATCAAAAATCTATCAACAACAATAAGAAAGGAAAATTGTTGCCAAAATCACATTTTTAAAGATGTGAGATGTCAGAAGTGTACTTGGAAGCTTCATTTAAAACTTTTTTTAAAAATACAAAATATCATTTTTCCAAAATTCTTTTTGTAAAAGCAGTCGCAAGGATAAAAGTTTACGTGTCCAAAAATCAAAGAAAAATAAACTGTACATTTTTAAAAATAAACTTTTGTAGAGAAAATCCTGTTGAAAAGGTGTTAAGCTCCCTTTGTTAAATAAATTCGTATTTAATCGATTTATTGAAACACAAAACTTATTTTAAGTTCATAAAATAGCTAAGTGCCTGCGTTTCATGACAATGTGAAAAAGGAGTGTGTAGAGTAAAATCTCGTTTTCCTATAGCCTATTATGTCTCAAAATGATGCAGTTTCATCACAAAACATTAAATAAAAAAATTCGAATTCGAATTTCAAAAAAATTGCTTCGAGGTGCACTGGCTCTTGTCTAGATGCACCTATGTACCAAATTTCGTAGCCGTGGGTCTATTAGCTTATGCTCGGCGCGAACGAAAGGACACACACACACACACACACACAGACACTCTTTCTTTTATTATATGTAGAGATTAATAAATAAATATAAGGGAGGAGGATGGACGTGAAATTTGCCATTAGTGATTAAACTGATTTATTTAGTTACAAATTTTACTGGTAAATTTAGGTAAGCAGCAAGAACTCCCAAAATTGATGCCATTCTTAGGAAGCGAGCAGAAAAAGGAGCAATTATTGATCAAGCAACGCAATAAGGAAGTACATATTTGATGATAAAGTTGTTGTTAGAATTAAAAAAGTTTTTAGGAAATGTAGATAACTCTAATGCTTCACTAACAGAAAGACTGTGGAATGATCTTGCAGAATTGGAAACTCTTCTTTCTGCAATGTATATAGCCACAAAAAAGCTGCAATCTGAAGAATTGACAGAAGGCGAGAATGGAAGAAATTTTTTTTTTTTTTTTTTTTTTTTTTTTTTTTTTTTTTTTTTTTTTTTTTTTTTTTTTTTAAGTGGAGGGTTTATTGCAGAAGGAATCATTTCTTCAGTGAAGAAAAGAGAAACTAGTTTGCTAGACAGTGAGATCTTGCTGGGTTAAGTATGTAGATCCGAAACACCGAATTTTCGTGGATGATGAACAAATTAAAAAGGCAAAGAAACCATCTATGAACTTTCATTAAGAATGAAATTATTCTCATAATTGGAGAATTTGAATCAGGACAGACAAACTGCAGACATTGCATTTGAGTCTCTATCATCCTCTTCCAGCAATGAATTAGATTTTAAGAAATATTTTTGGATAATATTGAAAAGGCTAAGACAAAGCAAATGATAATAAAGAACCAAGAGCCTTTAGCTATAAAAATGAAAAAATACAAACAAAATTTCTACACGCCTTTTGAAGAAATAGAGAAATATGATTGGACTTGCAAGACACATCTTTTAGAACTACTAAAAATCTATCCTGAAAAGTTAAAAGAAGTAGCCCTAACAGTAACAGCTCTTCCTCCTACTCAAGTTAGTCTGGGAAGAATCTTCTCAGCTCTGAAGTTTATCAAATCAGATCTATGGCCCTCCAACAAAGAAGATCTTGCTGAAGCTAAACTTTTTTTAGAAATAACTAATGCCAGTTTTTTAATTCCATAACAAATGCTAATTAATATAAATAATTTGCTATGCCATCAATTTTTTTCCTGTAGCATCTATTACTTTTATATTAAAAAAATAAGCTGTAACCCATGTGTATATGTTTTGGAGTTAACGTTGGAGTCTTTAAAATTCCAGGAGTAAGAGACAGAGTCGGTCATTTTCCCTGCCGACTCCACAGCCCTGGTTAGTGTGGCAGGACTATACTTGTATGACTATTGGTGAATTTCTATGTCTAGCTCACACCTGCCTGTACTTACATATGGCTACCATTTAAATTTAAAAAATAATTTTTGTACTTGCCAGTTACTGAACAGTTTTATTCATGGATAAAATGGGTATTTTTTTTATTATTATTATTTAATAAGCTCCTTGTGCTTTTGTTAACGTATTTAACAGATTTATTTTTAAGTCATGTAGAGAAAAAATTCTGTCAAAAAACATTGGTCGAATTAATGACTTGCTAAAATTTAAAAAGATGCTATAATATGATATTACTGATACTTTAGGCATATTGCATATTTGGCTGAAGGACATTAAGAAGAGTATAATGTAGTTTAGATTTGAATCATAAAATTGAGGTAGTATTACAGTTGTTATGGAGGTATTGAACCGCAAAAAGAAAAATAATTTGAGATACAGTCAAAAGTCGTTAATCCGGACTCGTCGGGACTTCGGCGATTCCGGATTATCGATTTTTTCCGGATTATAGATCATCAGTTTAAATCTCGTAAGATGGAATGCAGAAATTCTAAAATTAAAAATATGAAACCGTAATTTATGAAATAAAGAACAATTATGATCTAATAGGTATCAAAATTTACAAAAAAAAAAAAAAAAAAAAAGCTTAATATTTATTTGTTTACTTTATTAAACATTTCTTTTAATGTAAGTTTGTTTTAAGTTGCTTCGTTTTTTGTGTGATAATACTTTCTCTTTAATTCTATAAACAGACATAATTTCTTGTTCAGTTACAAAGTTCCGCTGTTCAAGTCCCGTTAATTGCTGTGCCGAGAATACCGACTAACTTGTCAATCGAAATTTTTTTTTTTTTTTGTTTTCACTAACCTTTCTGTCACATTCTTCATGTCTTTATCCATTTTTTTGCAGCAATTCCACTTTTTGTTTGTTGGACATCAATCGAAACATACTTTCGTTTTGTTAGATCCTTTGGAAGTTCCAGCATCGGAAATTCTATTTGACATAATCGAAAAGTTCAAGTTTTTACTTTTATAAAATTGCTCTTACAGTCTGCAAAAAATAATAAGCAGGGGGGATCCAATCCAATTCGAAGATTAAGGAACAACGCAATCATTAACATTAACTGAAATAGATAATTAGATAATTTTAGCTTACACCGTCCGTTATACATTAAACGTGCAGGCGAAAACGTATTCTGCACTTGCGCACACGCATATGCGCAGTAGTCAAGATCTTATGCGCACGCGTAAAACACCTGTGCGCATGTGCCAATGCGGCGCATGCGCAGAAATATTTTAGCTTTGAGATCCGGATTATGGGTGTCCGAATTAACGACTTTTGACTGTACATGCATTTAAAATAGGACATTTATATAAAATTCCATCTTAAATTAATTCAAGTTCAAAATATTAAGATGTGATAAACAACTACTCAGAGAGACTGAAGCATGCTTATTAGTTGAAGCATTTGCTTTAAAATGTAAATCCACACAATGCATGACATAGGAATTAAAATATGAGAACTTTACTGATGATAACTAGAAAATTTTAATGTGTTCTTTTACTGAATGCCTACATTTTATTTTTAATAAAAAATTCTGAATAACTTATTTTTTGTTTTGTAACTTGTTTTACTGATGAGTCACTCTTCTAGGTGGGAACTAAAAATTTTTTGCTAATTTACAAGATATAGGCAAATCAAAAAACAGTCATTATTCGTGCAATTAAATATACTTCTTCCATAATCATATAATTTTTTTTTTTTTTCCTTGCATTATGTGAATGTAAGCAAGTTTCCTTTGAAAAGTTCTGTATGAAAGTATTTGCTCTCTTAAACAAATTGCTGTTACATAATTTATCATAATTCGTATATTTCAGTGAAGTCAAAGCCATGATGGTGTGGTCTATTGATAAGCAGCAAAGGCTCAGGATATATGTCTTTCCTCACCAAAAAAGCAAATCATTGCAATATGATTTAGGAAGAACTGTGCCTTTATCAAATAAAGGAGTGGTTTAAAGAAAGTAAACCTCATTTTTATGCAAGATGAGATGTACTTCTGTAAAAATATTTAGCTAGTTATGTGCAAATATTTAGCTAAAATAGTGTTTGTGTACTTAGTTGACTCAGAAATTTCTGATGTGGTGTCTGTGGAAAACATGTAATCTGGCATTTCTTGTAAAAAAGTCAATAAAATTACTCCTGCTGTCAAAAGAAAAAAAAAAAATATTAAGGGCTATCCATTTTTTCCCTATAATAATTGTGCACTAAATTAATTTTTAGTTTTTGTATTAAGAAAAAAAGAAAGATATTTTCATGCATAGGTTGGTATTGTAATTTTGTAGGATACTGCATTTAATAAAAATGAAACGATTTAAAAGCTGCTGTTACATTCTGGTAATTTTCTTGGAATAGGTAATTTTAGCTTGTATGTTTTCTTAAAGCAAATAAATAAAATAACTTTAAGTGTATAAGTATTGATTTTTTAAAGTTTTCCATGTTTAAGTTATATATTTGTATTCTGTTTAAATCCCGAGTTTTAAACAAATGTAGGATTCCTGTTTTACAAATATTGAAATTTTATTTTTTACAATATTTAGATGATGGTAGGACTAAACCTAAGCCACGGCAATCAAGATTAGCTACCAATCCACTGCCACCAGTTTCTGAATACAAATGTTTAATACGAGCTCAGCTAGGAAATAAGAAGCTTAGTACGGATAGTAAGTTACTGAGTTATTTTTATAAAGCTTTTTTAAATGTTAATATTACAGCACTTTTTTTGAGTGTATAAATATCTAATAATGATACACTAGCTATGCATGCACTGCATGTTACAGAAAGTCATTTACACTTTATAGGAATGATTTTTATAATTAATTTGTATGTATAAAGGACATTTTCTTGTGAAGATTTGCTTCAGTGTGATAGCAGGGATTTTGGCTGTTGCTCTAGCATGAATTTTCCATGAAAGTAAACTTTCTTTAGCACTGCCATGCCAATTTTATCTCACTCCTCTTGGGTCATTTATCAGAGTTTGTTCAGTGTTCGTGGATGCCATTTTCTTAAAGCTTGTTTTAAAAGCTCAAGAGTCCATGCGAGAAATATCAGGTAATTTTACTGGTATTTCATTAAATGGGATAAATTTGATTTCTGTTTCCTTCTTTGCTAAATAAGCGGCAGTTGATATAGACATGTAACTGGAGGCTTTATACCATGAAACTCAACTTTATTAATGTCATTTCTTAAGTTTATTGAATAGCTTATTCAAAAATTGGTTTTAAAATATTTTGCTGATAGTACAGTGAATTAATTATAGCCTTATTTCAGGTTTTTTTTTTTTTTTTTAAATCTTAATTTACATCTGTAACTAAATCTGGTACTTTTCTGTTTTGCCGGTGCAAACGATAAAGTCGCCAATGATGGTTTCAACTGATGCCAAACAGAATATCTTCGCTGGTAACCTTCTACAGCTCATTTTCAAAACAAGTCGCAGGCCATTTCTTATCAGATTAATTTTCTTTCAATACTGTCATATAATTACATAGAATTTTTACAAGATGGCTAAATTTTATGCCCTAATACCATTCACGGTAATTAAATCAATTAGGATGTAATCAAACCACCCGAAGGTGAAAATATCGAAAAGGTAAAATAAATACACATTTCAATGTGTATAAGTTTTCTCTTGAAAATTCATTCTATTCTGTTTCCTGATTTTTTTACTTTTTTTCAACCAAAAAAAAAAAAAAAGTATGCCTTCTTGCTGTTACAGAATTGGTAGGGATAGTTTTTCTTTCAGATTTTAGACATTGTCCCTCAGAAAGTTCAAGGCAAGATTTATGGACCTGCAGTTTTCAGAAAAATGTGATAAAATGAAAAATGTCTTTATGTTATTAACATGTAATGGATATGTTTATTGGAAATTTGTGATAAATTTCTTATCCTTTTTAGAATTTGTGGAAGAACAGTCAAAACAAAATTATTTGAATTTACACCTTTTGATCCCAGAAGTCTGTCTTTTAACATTTTTTTTTCATCCCTTTATTTTCTTATCTTTCCACTAGACACAAGCATTGAAGCAATCTAAAACAAAGAAATTGAAAACCAACAATTTATTAAAAGATTTATCGTATATGTCTGAATCCATCGTACATTCTTCAGTACCTACCATAAATTCTCTCACACTGGCTCTGTAGCAGACTTTTATCTTTTTATATATATTCTCAATACTTGTATTATTAAAGAAATAAAATTACCAGTATCTTCTATGCATTCTAAGTACAAGCAGTTCTTTAGAATAACAGAGATCTTTAATTAAATCTGAAACGTCTAAAATGTGACGAGTAAATTCATTGAAAAAGAAACTGATTTTATAAAGAGAGGGAAAATAATTTTTCAAAGGAACATTGTTGAAACATTTAACAAATTACGATGTGAGTCAGAGACTAGTGAGATCATTGATTTGTTTAATTCAAACAAATAAACTTAGAAAAGGTACTAAAGAGAAAGATATTGATTAGCTAAAATATATGGAAAATTTTCAAATTAAAAAAGAGATGCATAAACTTTTTATTGTTTATTGTTGCTACAAACATAAATGTTTTGTATCTTTTATTGCATAATTAAACTAATATTTAGAATCAATATCATAAATTGTAATTGCTGTAAAATCTTCTTAGTGCTTTTTTAATGGATGTTTTTTAGAAATTTAAAAACAAAAATTGTAATCATGTAAATGTATTATAACTAAGGGTATCTAACTGCATAATATAATTATTTGTAACTAACTGCTCACCTTTTGAAGTTATCTCTACATGTTAAAAAGAGTTATCTCGTTTTCTCAGTCCTTATTGTGGATGCAAGATGCACCAGAAAAATGTAAAAATTAATGTAAAACTTTGTTCTTTACAGTTAATGAAACTTAAAACAATATAAAACAGCCTATCATTTCTGGTATAGCAACTTATTGGAACTTATAAATGCTGTACATTAACTGGGTTACAATTCTAGCAAATCTACAGGGAGCTACGACTCTAACTGGGCCAAATTGCAGCTTCAGTACTTACCAGCATACCAATGTCAGGTATTCACATTTGTTCTGATCAGTGGCTGTCTGTTTCTAAGCAAGCAACTGTGGTGGCAACAGCCAAGCTTCTGTTATGAGTCATGCTGATTATTATTTTACTTCGCAATTTAACTTGACATTTGACATAAAATTTGCATGTACCTCTGGACTGAGTAATTAAGTGATGAAATGAGGCATAAAAGAAATAATAAGTATGAAGCTATCTGCCAATAAAATTAAAATAAGAAGCCACTAACCTTCTTTAAAATATGTGGGATTGTTATAAAGTATCAGTGTTTTAAGAAATTTTATAGTTGAATGCTAATTACTTGAAAAATATTCTGAAGTTAATTTTATTCTTGATTTTTTTTATGATTAAGTATTAGATTATGTTTAATAATAATGCATCCTACCTGCAGATTTATTTTATTCTTACAAATTTCAAAAGTGAAGTTTGGGTGCAGATAATAGCATTAGTTAATTCAGTTCCTATTTGATAGACAGATCCTTATTTTTTCATTAATGGTCCTTAAAAGTACTTAATTTCTGTGTGCAGAAGTATGTACGAACCATGTAATTGTGTCCAATTGGTATTATATTGGCATTAATTGATATGATATTAATATTGTAATTGGTAATTGTAATTAATATTATAATGTATTGGTAATAATATTATATTTGTAGTTGGTAAAATAATTGATAATAATTTTGGTCCTTTCTTAAAATTGGTTCTAAAATGTTTTGCTGATTGGTACAGTGAATTCATTTTAGTTTTACTTGAAACTTTTTTGAGTTTTATTTACCATTGCAATTCTTCAGCTGTCATGAAACCCTTTAAGAACTTTTCTGACCATTGACAAAGCCATTTTGTGTGGTCATTTTCATCAGTTGAGTAATAGAAGATTGATCTTTATTTTCTAATAGTCACTTAAATATACTCATCCATTTATCAGCAGCTAGGTGTTTTTCATATAATTTTTTGCATTTTTTCCTCCTTCCTGCAATATGCTTTGACAAGAGCATTTGAACTTTAGATTTAAACATCTTTTTTAACTTCAAATCTTTATTTTATGAATGATTTTACTTACAGAGCCAAAAGATATGCCAGTTCTGATGCGATGGATGTTGCGAGTTTTTTTTCCTTCAGTATCAGAGACTTTACTGTTTGGAATTTATCCTGTATTTGAACAATCTTATATATATATATATATTTTTCCCTTTTCATTTTTGCTTTCAGATAGATGATTTTTCCTTTTCAAATTTAATATAGTAAAAGTATCTTTGAAATTCAATAACCTTGATTTTTTTTTTTTTTTTTTACTTTACAATATGCTGATATGAATGGTTTTTCTTGGAAAGTGCATTTATGTAACCTTTGAGCTATCTGCATTTCAGCTGAAACAAAATAGTCACAGTGAATGTATTGGAAAATACATTCACCTGTGCCAAATCTTTATTTTAGAATGTGAATGAGAAAATGTAAATAAAAAATTCTTCCTGTAAAGTGTAAATGACCTCTTAAGTTTTTTAATTTATCACAGAATTCTATTTTGTGAATTACATGAAATGTGATATTTTAGAAATGCGTAAATCATATCTTTTTTTATTTGTTCAAGAACTTCACATGTACTTTAAACAAGATGTGGTACTTTTCTGTTTTGCTGGTGCAGGCTATAAAATCACCTATAATACAACTGATTCCAAACAGAACATCCTTGCTGGTAACCTTTTACGCCTCATTTTCAAAACAATCGCAGCCATTTCTTATCAGATTGATTGTTTCTTTCAATACTGGCATACAATTAGATAGAATTTTTACCAGATAGTTCAACTTTATACCCTAGGACCATTCGCGGTAATTAAGTCAATTAGGATGCAATCACACCGCTTACCCGAAGGCAAAAATATAAAAATCTGATGTGTACACCACATGACATCCTTGTATGGAATATTAAATTATACACATTTTTTCTTGCATTTCATTTAAACTTATTGGATTGATTAAGACACAATAACACGCCGAATAAATACTAATTCAGAAGTCAAACAACAAAAAATCAGGGTTAATTTACAAAATTTTCACAGGACTAGTTTCGATGGTTTTACCGGACCATCATCTTCAGCTGCAAAACCGCAAATGAACAAGATAGGAAATAATGTTTAGATAAGGTTAGATAATAATGTTTAGATCTTATCTAAACATTATTTCCTATCTTGTTCATTTGCGGTTTTGCAGCTGAAGATGATGGTCCGGTAAAACCATCGAAACTAGTCCTGTGAAAATTTTGTAAATTAACGCTGATTTTTTGTTGTTTGACTTCTGAATTATTATTGGATTGAATTAAATATACTTCGCTGACAGCGCATAAACCACAATAGAATAAATGCATTCTTTAAAATTCACTCTAGTATTTGTTTACCATAGTGACACTCTGGCACTAGATTCACTTAACAGTATTATATTTCGGTCATATTATAACTCATAATGTACAAAATTTATATCATTTAAAGAATAGAATTATCTAATCGTTGCCACATGTTTTATTCAAATACTATAATAAAGCTAGAATGATGTATAAAAGAAATTAAGCAACAAAACAAAAAAGAAACAGTTTTTCCACAGACGATTGAGTATTTCTCATTTCAATCAAGTTCAGTTTTTCACGTCGCGAGAAGGCAAAAATACATAAAAACTCAAAATATCTATATTAAAAATTACAAAGTAAATCTTAAACACTTACTATTTCCTCGAAAAAATACCAGAAAGGATTAAGCATGATTTAATTGGCAATAATAAATGAAGGTGTTATCTTTGTTGTTGTGAAGCTAAGTTTCTCTAGATTGGCAACAAATCCACTAGTCTGCTGTTTCAAATGTAAACAATCAATGGCCGCCATCAAAAAAAGGCTTATCGGCACTTAAACAAGGCATAAAAACCTTAACCGGAAAATAAAACCAACATAATTCAATCATTTTTAAAGCAAAAAATGTACAATTTACAAACATATAAGAGTAAAGAAACTGAGATTACTGAGCTGTACAGGGATATTATATAAATATTTATATCATTTGGTGCGACCGATAGCAACCAAAATACGAGGTGCACATCTACATGTTTAGCAGTCCTATACAAAATTTAACATTTTGAGGTACGTTCTTGAGTTATGCGAGATACGTACATACGTGCGCACGTGACATAGTTCGTATATTTTTTGAAATATGCTCCTGAAACTTTCGCGATTACAGACTTCCTTTTTACTTCGTACAAGGAAGTAAAAAAGGAAGTCAGGGTTAATTCATCAATTCTAATGAGAATGCACTAGCAAAAAAGCACTGCGGTTTTTACATAATTTCTGAGAGCTATTCGTAGAATTGAAATACTTCTGCATTTAACTTTATTCCAATCGATTTAACTTGAAGTTAATGTAGCTAATTGGATTTGTAGTAGTTATGTAGATGAGATCATTTGGTCATGTGAATGTACCGGATCAGGATGTTGAACCATGAAAGCATAGTAAATCTTAATTAATGTCTTTTACAATTTATTGTCTTTATTTATTTTTTTTACAAAATTTGAAGCGATTTAAATGTTTATGCCTTCAAAATAAAAAAATCGTAGAACTAATATTTGTTAAAAATTTTTTGTGCATACTGTATGTTGTTGCCAATAAAGTCTGCTTGGCGAGATTTGCGCCAGCAAAACGGAAAAGTACCCAATATTTTAATACAAGCATCACTTATATAATCTTTGCAAATGTCATGCAGTTATTAATAAATTACTGATATATTTAGTCCAGCAAAAGAAGAATAGATTTTCCCATGTATTTATTGTTTACTAAATATTTAAAAATAATCATACAGTTGAAGTGAAAATATTTGGTGTAGTCCAAAATTTTGCCACCAAATGGTCTGGTAATTTACAGGGTGATCAAAAAGTCAGTATAAATTTGAAAACTTAATAAATCACGTAATAATGTAGATAGAGAGGGTAAAATTGACACACCATACTTAGAATAACACGGGGTTTTTTTAGAAAAGCAATAATCTGACAGAAAAAGCAATAATTAGCATAACAAAAAGACAAAGCAAAGATGATGTTCTTTATAGTAAATGCTCAATTGTTCACCATCATTCCTCAATAGCTGTCGTCGGAATAATGTTTGAACACACTGTAAAGCATGTCCAGAGTTATGTGAGGCGTTGGCATCGAATGTTGTCTTTCAGATCCCTAGAGATGTGGCCACGATGCTTGCGACTCAGGTAACCCCCAAACCATAATCCACGGACTGGGGTCTGGGGACCTAGGAGCCAAGCATGACGAAGTGGCTGCTGAGCACACAATCATTACAAATGACGCGCGCAAGAGATCTTTCACGCGTCTAGCATATGGGGGGAGCGCCATCCTGCATAAAAATCGTACGTTCCAGCAGGTGTTTATCAGCAGGGTGGGGACGATGCGATTCTGTAACATATCGGCGTACCCTCCCCGTCACGGTAAGCAGTTGCAAAACCGAATCACGCATTTCCTCGAAGAAAAAGGCCCCGATAACAGTATTTTTTTTTTTTTTTTTTTGTTCTAATAAAACCCCATGTCATTCTGAGTATGTGTGTCAATTTTTACCTCTCTATCTACATTATTCCGTGATTTATTAAGTTTTCAAATTTATACTGACTTTTTGATCATCCGGTATTTTGATTCAATTAATTTCAAACTTTGTTTTAATTATTTGGAAGGAACTTTTTAAGTGAGTGTTTATATGCTTGTGTTAAGAAATTTCTCAAATGAAGAATCATACCTTCTTATTATAAAATGGGCAAAAATTATTTTTTTTTAATTTAATTTTTGAGAGTTGAATTTTTATGAATTTTTGTTTTTGTTGAAAGAAGGAAAAGTCTTCTTTACTTTATTTTCATTACCACCAAAAGCGAATATGAATAATTAAACTAGAAAATTTATAAATTGAGCTAATTAATTTACAGTGCATTCACCTCGCATGTAGTTTGAGACAACTTTTGTGGACTACTCAGTATAAAATATACAAAATTACCTGACTGAACAAAGTGTTAAAGAATAATTTCACATGAATGAACAATTATATCCCAGAAATGTAAATTAGTAAATTACCATGAATTACTTGGATGTTGTACGAATTTATATCTTTGTTCTATTGTGATGCGTTTATAATGAGAGTGTCAATGATTTTAATCAGATGACTTAAAAATGTATTGTTAGGTAAACCTTATTATAAACACTACATGAGAATCGTTCTGGCTGATGATAAAATATGCATATTAAGAATTTATATAAGATATCCAGCAGCAAGGCAAGTATGAGTATATTCAGTGAAAATTGGTAAATGAAGTTCAAATTTTATTTTTCTGAAGTAATGATTTTTTGGCATACTATAATGATTCTCTGGCAGAAGACTATAAATGAAGCAAGGAAATTGAAAATGGTACAATCTGAAGATTAAGTAATCAGATGGTTGAATGTTACTTAACAAATTGCCTCCATTCAGTAAAAAGAGTTCTAGGGTGTTGGAATAATAAACTATCTGGTAGGGTAAGGATTTCCAAGAGCCATTAGTCTTAAAGACAGTTACTTGGCCCAAATTGTATGCTGCAACATAGCGTTGACAATGAGGCAGCTCTCTTTCTGAAACTCTGGCCTTCTGACAGAAGACATATTGAAAAGAAATTTGTTATGCAACGAAACTGGTATTCAGCATATTCCAAAGCCCTTCTGATAAAAGTACTTGTCTGAGCTATAGAGACAACTTCAAATTTTGTAATGAGGGCTGCTGAGATCCAGAAACATCCCCATGCCTAAACCCCTACTAGTTTCTTCCTTTTCACATTAAATGGCAATTTTATCATCCATGGTTTCTCAAGAAAAAATTGAGAGAGATCATTCAAATTTGGCTTAATGATGTTTATCCATTTTCTTTATAAGTTCTTCCCCCCTCCCATCAGCCAGTTAAAGTTCAGAATTAACTCTAATTGATTTTTCATGTATTTTATATCTGAAAGGAGCTAAGTACACATAAAATCTTCCTAGTAATATCTTATATTTAATATCATGGTGTAGTGGTAGTAGAGTTCTTGTAATTGCAGTTACTAATTGAGTGTCTCATATTATCTACCCATAAGATGTGAAGTGATCCATATAGATGAATACTGTTCTGTGATTTTCCAGAAAGTTCTGCAGCTACTGTAAAAAACCATTCCTAGAAGGGTTTATCTGCGCTAATTAAAACATCTGACACTATATAGATGATATTCTAGTGACGAAAATAAAAGCAGTTTTTCTTCAGTTGAAACATCCAAATTTCATATATAGGGGAGCTGGTTGATACATGGAACCAGCTTTGTTAGCTCAGATAAACCTTACCGTGAATGGCCCTTAAGATACAGGATTGAAATCTTAAAGCCTTGTGTCAGGTTTTTTTAGACAAGCTTTTGCACTTCCAATTCAGGTTATGGACAATATACTTTTCCTTAAGGAAGAATCAATTGATGAATGTTTTAAGAAAGATTTATTCAGAGGAGGCAGTAGTTATCAGATCTCATAAAAGAATTCTCTGTCAATTTCAAGATTAATTTCCATCCCAGGGAATAAGTGTGCTTTGGAGGAATAGGACTCATTATCTGAAAAAAAATTATTACGAATTTTGTATATATTTGGATGATCTTAGTGAAACTGCATGTAAATTAAAGTACCTGTTATGTAATGTAACATGAAATCCCGCAAGAGAGCAAACCTCTGCCAGAAAAATATGATTATAGCGGCAAATCCATAAACATTAAAGTACTGACGATCAGATTCTGCTAGCCCTTCTAAAATTGCTGTATACTTTCGCTTACTTGGGGACTTCTGTGTTCTTTATAAATAGTAATAAATAAATAGGTGTTACTACTGTACATAGTTTTTCTTTATATATATATTTGATTAATTTAATTCAGGATATCACTAGTATTATTGAGATAAAATGTTCTGTCTTTTTGTAATTACAGTACTAATGAGTGACTCATGGTATATTTTTAAATCAACTAATATTAGTGTTTATTTCAGGTTAATGCAAAAGATGTTAACAAATTCCAATTAGTAAGTTTAAGTTTTGCTGTCTATATATAGTCATATAATTTAATTAAAAAATATGGTTGTATTACATTTTAATAGATTTTCATAATTTGAATTCTTAGAAATTAAGACGTAATTTGTGATTACTAATATTAACTAACTTAAAAGATTCTTAACTGAAACGTGGAATTTATTCTAATTATGCAGAAAAATTGTGTGGGTACATTCATTAAGAAAGCTTAACTAAATGTCAAAATATATTTCTGTAAATTAAATCATCCAAATTTATATATATTTAAGTTATATTTAACAGTATATTTAATTGGTCTTAAGTTAAATATATCTCATAAATAAAGATTACTATTTTGATATATTTAACTAGTGAGAGAGTGAGAATTAAAAAAAAATTACCTGTAATTAATTCTCTATTGATGACAAATTATGCTACATTAAGTAATGTTATAATCTTTCATTAAATAGTAATTATAAATTTTCTTATAATGTATTACATAACGATGTAAATATCAAAGCACAAATATTTTTTTTTTTTTTTTTGTCTGTAAATAATCATGCCTGATATATATTTATGTATGCTATGCACATTATTTAAATTTTAACTTAGATTAAATGTGCAGTTCACTTTTTAGGCATATGCAAATTTGATAAAGGAAAATGGAGGATTAAAAGAAAAGAAAAAAGGAGGAACTTCTACAAAAGCTACCAATAATTAAAAAATTCATGTTAAAATTTTAATAGAAAACTCTATCATTTTAATGCTTTCATTAATTCTCAAATTGATGACATATTTAATCAAATAAAGCAGGGAAAAGTAGAAACCTAAAGTGCCAATAGCTTGATTTATTTAATTTTATTTATACAAGTATACAGATCGTGAGTTTTACTTTTTTTTTTTTTTAATTTTTTTTTTTAGAGCCACAATGTGTTGTGTACCACATTTAAAGTAATGGCCTAGAAAATGTCACATTTGTGTTGTAGGTAAAGTAATTTTCAGTGTACAAATTTGTATATATACTTGGGAAAATATTATCTAATGCTTCTGCGTATACAAATTTAGATACATTAAAGATTCTAAAAAAATGAAGGGGAAGTTGGAAATTTCTGCGTAATGTTTATAAAAAAATTTTATGCTTTTTAATTCTTAGCTAAATGTAACTTTGTATTTGGATTTTATAACTGATATTTTTTTAAACTCAGCCTTTGCAACTTAATCATTTCTTTTGATATGAAAAAAATTAAGATAATAAATTTTAGTGTTTTTAATGATTCTGATCATATACACATAAGAAATACCTAATTCATCTTATAACGGGTGCCATAATAAAGACAGTGCGCAAGGTTCTGTAGCACGATTTGCGAGAATGACGCAGCGTTTTGTGGAAGATTAAACAGACGGGGACGAGGAGTCCGAAAAAAAAAATGTGTTAAAGTCATCGCTAGGGTAATCTTTGGCTGTGGTAATGAAAATGTGTTAACAATGCAAATCAATACGGAAATACTTATATTGCATTCAAATGAGGTTCAATATGGATGGTGTTGTTGTGGACCACATTTTGCATCTGTGCATGTATGCACAACACAAAAGAACATGTCTGCAGGAATCTCCCGTACAGTCCTTGATATGTTATTCTTTAACGAGCAAGTCCTGGACCAGTCCTTCATAGACCTTGGACTTAAGGTAACTCCATGGCCAGAAGTCGCATGGGGTAAGATCAGGTGACCGAGGTGGCCATACAGTTGGAAAGTAGCGGCTAATGACTCTTTCTGTTGTAAATTTCTGTCGTAGCATCTGTTGCACCCCTACAGCAACGTGTGGAGGGGCTTTATCTTGCATGAAAATGATTTCCCCCAGGCATTGTCTTTGCTGAAGTGCCAGAATGACAAAGCTGTTCAACGTGTGGCGAGATTTCTCTTCGGTAACAGTACAGGTTTCCGGTTCTGCTGGGGTAAAGTTCTCATAGAGGAATGGACCTACGATAAATTCCACTATGAACCCACACCAAACAGTTACCTTTGGTGAATGTAAGGGAATTGCTGTGACTGCATGTGGTGATTTGTCATCCCAAATTCGGCAGTTCTGGGTATTCACAGTTCCATTCAGGTAAAAGTGTGCCTCGTCTCCCCATAAGATCACGGCCATGCATCATCCACCTCCATTCTGGCAAGAAAGGTGAGAGCAAAAGTCAATCGCTTACCATGGTCAGGGTACAGTAACTCTTGTACAGATAGAAGTTGATAATCTTTCGTAAGATTTTTCATACCGTATTTTAAGGCATATCCATATTCCATAAGGCATATCCATAATAAAAGGTAATTTTATTCCGTATTAATTTGCATTTGTTAACACTCTATTTTCTATTACACAGTACCAAATATTCCCCTAGCGGTGACTTTTGGAACTAATTTTTTTTTTTCACGGAATCCTTCGTCCCCTGTCTTGTTTAATCTTCCTACAAAATGTGGTATCATTCTCGCAAATAGATCATGCTACAGAACACTGTGAGCACTGTCAATTTAATTATGGCCACCCGGTATATGCTATTCATGTAAAATCATAGTAAATATGGAAATTATTATTTGATTATGTGATAAAAGTCCAAGATATAAATACTTCTTTGTAACAAAACTTTGACATTTTCATGAATCTGTAGTGTGGTTTTAAATCCTGAAAATATTGCTAGGAACAGTAAAGATAGTGACAAAGAGGTTTTTGAGAATGAAAAGATTTTGACTGACAATATATTGGAAAATTTCAACACATCAATTGCAGGACTTTTTGCAACTGAACTAGAAATTACATCTTTGTATAAAATCGAGTGATTATTTGAACAAAAAATGAAATAACTTGAAAATAAAATGAAATGCATTGAAAGAAATATTTAATAAAATAAATATTGAGCTTTATTTTATAAATTTTGATTCCTGTAGAACCATATGTGCTTCATTATTTCACAGTTTTAATGTTATAATTTCTACATGCCATCTTAAACCTTTAACTGCCACGGGAAACGTACAAGATTCATTTCCCAGTGCCACGTTTGTTTACACAGGCGAGCGTAGTTATGCGATTTATTAGGGGGAAATAAGTGCAAGTTTTACTTTCTAAAAACTGTTTACTTTCACAAAATAAAGAATAAAAGTAAAAAAATGAATGCACAAAATTTAATGTTTTGAGTAAAAGTTTAATAAAAATGATGTTTTTATAATAAAAAAGATCCCTAAAATGGAGTTTCAATCAATTCATTTTTAGACCAGTAAAGTGTAATATCAGGTTTCGGTGTTATACCTTGTGAAATCAGTATGCCTAAAAAAACATATATTTCTTCTGAACTGGTTGAATATCACGATTTTGTTCTTGATTTTTTGTTTGCAAGGTTTTGGTTCATATACTCGTCTACAAAACGGTTAGTTTCATTAAAAATATGAAGCAGTTCATCAAAAAATAATTCAAAAAAGATAAATGGGTTTGAAACATCCGTTATATCTTTCTTTATTTCTGGAACCTACTACAAAAAGTAAACAAAAATGAAGTACACAGAATAAAAAAAAAAATACGTTTTACTCAAACAACACCAGCCAAAACTGCGCAGTCATTACTTTCACCACACCTCTCTCTCCAATTTCTCCCCATATAGTAAGACCCCGCTTAACGCTGTTTCGGTTTAGCGCTCTTTTATTTCAACCCGGGGATTCCACGAAATCGCTCGCAGCATACGGGGATTCCACGAAATATTATGCAGCGATAGGTTTCAAATACATATCCGAAAGAGTGTACTTGTATTTCTTGTTTGGTGCGGTATTGTACAGACATATTTTTATTATTTTAAACATTCAGTTCAAGAAGCAGCGGCTAGTCTTTCTAATGATGAGCTCACGGAATTAACTGAACAAGAAGAAAACAAAAATGTTGACAGCAGTGATTCAGAAGAGCAAAAAGAACTTTCGATGGCGTTTGTAAAAAGGAGTTTGTCTACCAGAACTGAAATAATGGATCAATTCATTGAAAATGATCCGAATTTTGACAGGAGCTCAAAAGTAAGGCGTGGTGTTAGAGATGCTCTATCCGTTTATGAAGAACTTTTAAGAGAACAACGCAAAAGAAAAAGGCAAACAACATTAGATGCTTTTGTCACAAAAAGGCAGAACACTGAAAACGCGGAAGGCTAACTAAATATGACTGACTTAGAATTTTATTTGTTGTTTTTTTTTAAGAATATTCGTTTTGTTATTTATATTTTGTTTTTATTTTTGCAAGAAATAATAATGTGGTATTAATTTGGGCTTTAAGAAATAAATGTTTGGTTTTATTTTTAATAAAAAAAAACATATTTTTTAAATTTAATACCTAACCAATTTCCTAGCCATCTTCCCCTAACCCCAATATTTACATGTAAAGATAGCCTCGTTTAGCGCTGTTTTGCATTACGCTCTACTTTGATGGAACGTATCCCCCGCGTTAAGCGGAATCTTACTGTACTTCTCTTAAATAGTATCCTCCTGCGGATACTTTGTCAAGGTCATTATGGTGTTGCATTCCAAAGCTTTGTGAATAATTTTACTGGTAGCAGCGCAAAGCAAATCATAGTATTTTGGAAGGGTGTATATATACACCCAGGGCAGTTAAGGAGTTAAGTGATGTTCTAAATTCAGAATTGCCAAAATCCTGACGGGTTCAGATCTTGGACTTTCGACTATATTACAGTGTAAAAGTCGTTAACTTTGTTCACACCTATAGAACAGGGTTAAAACTAGCCTGTCAGGGAATGTAATGCTGAATATACATGAATGTGCAATTAGGGAGCTAAATTGTTGGGTCAAGTGCCAGATGGTATTTCCTTCACTGTGACTAATCAGTTTTTATACCTGGTTGCCGTCAGGTTGAACATTAAGACAAAATCCATGAACCAGTTTCTGTAATGTAGAATAAATGCTGCTTAATGTGATCAGTTGGTTATTGTTATTGAATTTTTTAACTGAAATAAAGTTGCCAAATACAGTAAAATAAATTATAAAATTGCCAAGTGTCACAAAGGTGTTGCCAAGTAAGGAATTATATCACCAAACAGTTGTTCTAGTCAACAGTTTAAAATTAGGTAAAAAAGCAACCATAGCTTGCTTTGATTTTGAGGATGATCAGCCATAGTAACATCTCCTTCATTGGGGGGGGGGAGACTCATCAGAATTTTTTTCCCTCAGATCTTTAAAAAAATTTCCCCTGAAAACATCTATGCCAAATTAAGGTTGTTTTATTTTCTTATTTTTACTTCCTTGTACGAAGTAAAAAGGAAGTATTGTAATCGCGAAAAGTTTCAGGCAACATATTTCAACGATGTCCATTTTGACCGCTTTCGAATGCAATTTAACGATGTTTTTGCATGATATCTGTACGTAACGACAGAATAAAAGACTCTTTTCCTCTAAAAAATTATAAAACTGCTTTAAAATGAATTCTGAAGAGAATTTTTCGTGGCGTCTGTACGAACGTATCTCGTATACCTCAAAAACGAGTAGCCTCAGAACGTTGAAATTTTGTATATAGGACTGCTATAACATGTAGATGTGCACCTCGTATTTTGGTTTCAATCGGCTGCGCCAAACGTATATAAATAAATATATTTATATACGTTTGGCGCGGCCGATATATCCACTCTGTTACCCGGCTCAGCGATCTCAG